CCAGCCACCTCCTGTTACAGCCGTGGGTACACGTGCTGAGATCTACGGTGACACATGCTGAAATCTGGGAGGGCAGGTGACAGGGGCCTGAGTGAGACTGGGCTGGTTAGGGCGGGGGCCTCTCTGAGGAGGTGACTTTGAATGGAGCAGGGAGAGGCATCCAGGCACTAAGACGTGGCTGCAGCTTGGGAGCTGGAACCAAGGCCAGCCTGAGCGGAGTGTTCTGAGGCTGTCATTGCCCCACCTCTCTCATTCTCTGCCTGTCCCTGAGCATGGGGGTCTAGTTAGCAGTAGAGAAAAGCAGGGAAAAGCTCTCCTCTAAACAGACTGGAGAGATTTCAGGTTTCTCTAAAAAGGGTGAACCCAGACTCAGACCAGAGCTGCCCTCTGCAGGTCTGGGGCCGCCTCAACCCAGGCTTTCATCACAGGCTTCAGGTTCCTAGGTTGAATGGTACGGGGACCTGAAGAGTTGAGGCCGTAGTGCCTACTTTTTTTTTTTTTTATGTGTGGTTTTATCAAGGCTGTTCTTTTTTTGTTGAATGTCAGGGACATCTTTCCGTGTCAGTAGATCTGCCTAATCTTTATTAAAAATTGAGATATAATTCACATTCCACAGAAGCTATTTGAGACAGAGTCTCACCCAGGCTGGGGTGCAGTGGTGTGGTCATGGCTTACTGCATTCTGGATCTCCCAGGCTCAGGTGACCCTTGCGGCTCAGCCTCCCAAGTAGCTGGAATTACAGGCATGTGCCACCATGCCTGGCTTATTTTTATAGAGACAGAGTTTCACTGTGATGCCTAGACTGGTCTCGAACTCCTGGACTCAAAGCAATTTACCTGGTTTGGCCTCCCAAGGTGCTGGGATTACAGGCATGGGCCACTGCCTGGCAAAAGCTACTCTTTTAAAATGTACAATTCAGTGGGTAATTTGTTTTGAGATGGAGTTGGACTCTTTTTGTTCAGACTGCAGCGGAATGGGGCTCTCTTAGCCGACTACAACCTCTGCCTCCTCGGTTCAAGAGATTCTCCTGTCTCAGCCTGTTGAGTAGCTGGGCTTACAGGTGTCCACCACTACGTCCGGTTAATTTTTGTATTTTTAGTAGAGATCGGGTTTCACCATGTTGACCAGGCTGGTCTCAAACTCCTGACCTCAGATGGTCAGCTCACCTCGGCCTCCCAACGTGCTGAGATTACAGGCGTGAGCTACCACACCTGGCCACCAGTGGTTTTTAGTACATTCACAAAACTGTGCAACCATCACCAGTAATTCTAGAACATTCTCATCATTCCCAAAAGCAGCTCTGTCCTCATTACAAGTCACTCCCCACTTCCTCCCCCAGCCCTTGGTAATCACTAATCTCTTCTACCTTGCATTTACTTTTATTTTATTTTATTTATTTTTTGAGACAGTCTCACTCTGTCGCCAAGGCTGGAGTGCAGTGGCGCAATCTCACTGCAACCTCCACTTCCCGGGTTTAAGGGATTCTCGTGCTTCAGCCTTCCAAGTAGCTGGGACTACACTACAGGCATGTGCCACCATACCCGGCCCCCTTTTTTTTTTTTTGAGACAGGATCTTGTTTTTGTCACCCAGGCTAGAGTGCAGTGGTACAGTCATAGCTCATTGTAGACTTGACCTCCTGGGCTCAAGCAGTCCTCCCTCCTCAGCCTCCAAAGTAGATGGGACCACAGGCATGTGTCACCATGCCTGCTTAATTTTTATTTTATTTATTTTGAGAAGGAGTCTCTCACTGTCACCCAAGCTGGAGTGCAGTGGCGTGATCTTGGCTCACTGCAAACTCCGCCTCCTGGGTTCAAGGGATTCTCTTGCCTCAAATATCTGGGATTACAGGCCCCTGCTACCACCTCCAGCTAATTTTTGCATTTTTAGTAGAAACGGGGTTTCACTATGTTGGTCAGGCTGGTCTCGAACTCCTGACCTCAGGTGAGCTGTTGGGCTTGGCCTCCCAAAGTGCTGGGATTACAGACGAGAGCCATTGTGCCCTCCCTCATTTTAAAAAAAATTTTTTTTTTTTTTTTTGAGACGGAGTTTCGCTCTTGTTACCCAGGCTGGAGTGCAATGGCGCGATCTCGGCTCACCGCAACCTCCGCCTCCTGGGTTCAGGCAATTCTCCTGCCTCAGCCTCCTGAGTAGCTGGGATTACAGGCACGTGCCACCATGCCCAGCTAATTTTTTGTATTTTTAGTAGAGACGGGGTTTCACCATGCTGACCAGGATGGTGTCGATCTCTCGACCTCGTGATCCACCCGCCTCGGCCTCCCAAAGTGCTGGGATTACAGGCTTGAGCCACCGTGCCCGGCGTTGTCTCCATCTTAAAAGGCAGAACAGCCTCTCTTTGGGGTGACGGGAGGCAGAGAACTGCTGGGAGTGTTTTGTGGGGTCTCTTCCTGGTGGCTACGTGAGGCCTGAGTCAGGGCCTGGGACTTCTTGGTCTCTTTCCACTGCCCTGGGCAAACCTCAGGTTTAATAACATCAGCCAGCCCGCACGGTAACTAGAAAAGAAACTCTCCAGAAGGAGCCCTCAGTGGTTTCGGACCCCCAGGCACTTGTCCTTGTCCCTCCCGGTGGCGTCCTGTCCGAGTGGACGTGCTAGAGCCGGAGGTGTCCTTGTGTACCATGGAATTTGCCTGGGGTGGGTGGGGGGCAGGGTGGAGAGAAATACAACTTCCTGAGATCTGTGTATTAGCCTTATACATAGATCCTGGATAGAGGCTATGGAGCCAAGCATGTGACCACGTGCTTCTGTGCGGTGCCTGCAGAATTGAGTTTCCTTCTGGCTGGAAGAGATTCTGAGCTGTCTTAGTTGTCTGGCATCTGGCGTCTACCGTGGGCCAAGATGCCTGGGGCAGGGGCAGAGGAGGACAGGAGGGGCCTGCCCTGGAGGGTTCTGGGAAGCCAGCAAAACAGAGCCATCCACCAGGCTCAGGCGGATGCGTTATCGCTCAGTGACTTTTCACCGAGTTGAGAATGTGCTCAAGGTGCCTGGCCTACTAAGCACCGTACAAGTGCTATTATTTCTGCATTGTTTTCTTGAGATAAACCAGCCAGGCATAGTGGCTCACACCTGTCATCCCTTTGGGAGGGGAGGCAGGAGGATCTCGAGATCGGAAGTTGGAGACCAACCTGGGCAATAGAGTGAGACCCCCCTCCATCTCTGCAAAAAATTTAAAAATTAGCTAGACATGGCTGGGCACCATGGCTCACGCCTGTAACCCTCATACTTGGGAGGCCGAGGCAGGTGGATCACCTGACGTCGGGTGTTCGAGACCAGTCTTGGCCAACATGGTGAAACTCTGTCTCTACAAAAATTAGCCAGGCATTGTGGCAGGTGCCTGTATCCCCAGCTGCTTGGGAGGCTGAGGCAGGAGAACTGCTTGAACCTGGGAGGTTGTAGGGAGCCAAGATCGTGCCACCCTTGTAGTCCCAGCTACTCAGGAGGCTGAGGCAGGACTATTCCTTGAGCCCAGCAGGTCACGGCTGCAGTGTGCTCTGATCACACCACTGCACTCCAGCCTGGGCAGCAAAAGAATACCCTGTCTCTAAAAGAAAAACGGGGGAAAAAAAAAAAAGACATGAATGGGCAGGGCGTGGTGCTCATACCTGTAATCCCAACGCTTTGGGAGGCAAGGTGGGAGGCTTGCTTGAGCTCAGGAATTCCAGACCAGCCTGGACAGCATGGTGAGACCCCATCTCTATAAAAATACATGTATATATAAATTAGGCTGGACGTGGTGACTCACACTTGTAATCCCAGCATTTTGGGAGGCCGAGGTGGACAGATCACCTGAGGTCAGGAGTTGGCAACCGGCCTGGCCATGTTGGCCAGGGGTGAAACCCTGTCTCTACTAAAAATACAGAACATTAGCCAGGCATGGTGGCGGGCACCTGTAATCCCAGCTACTCAGGAGACTGAGGCAGGAGAATCACTTGAACCTGAAGGTGGAGGTTGCAGTGGGCCGAGATCACACCACTTCACTCCAGGCTGGGCAACAGAGCAAGACTCCATCTCAGAATACATATGTATGTATGTATAAAAGCTGTGCATGGTGGCTCCTGCCTGTCTCCAGCTACTTGGGAGGCTCAGGTAGCAGGATCACCCTCGCCCAGGAGTTCAGGGTTGCAGTGAGCTGTGATTGAGCCGCTGCATTCCAGCCTGGGCGGCAATGAAAACCAATCTCCAGAAAGAAAGAAATGAAGCTCCGTGCACACCAGGAGCCACTGCATATCCTCATCCCAGCCCCGGGCACTGCGCACCCCTTTCCTGCCTCTGAATTATGCTGTTGTAGACTTTTTTTTTTTTTTTTTTTTTTGAGACAAAGTTTTGCTCTTGTTGCCTAGGCTGGAGTGCAATGGCGTGATCTCAGCTCACTGCAACCTTTGCCTCCCGGGTTCAAGTGATTCTCCTGCCTCAGCCTCCCAAGTAGCTGGGATCACAGGTGTGCACCACCACACCCGGCTAAGGTTTTGTATTTTTAGTAGAGATGGAGTTTCTCCATGTTGGTCAGGCTGGTCTTGAACTCTTGACCTCAGGTCACCCACCTGTCTTGGACTCCCAAAGTGCTAGGATTACAAGTGTGAGCCACCTCGCCCTGTTCTAGACATTTCATAGAAATGGGATCACACACTGTGTGGCCTTCTGTGTCTGGCGTCTCTCACTGAACGAGAAGTCAAAGTTCATCCACACTGGCCTGTCTCAGAGTGTTGCTCCTTTTCATGGCTGAGTAATATTCCACTGTGTGAATGGGTCACATTGCATTGGTCCGTTCATGTGCTGAGAGCGTCTGGGCTGCCTCCACCTTCTGGCTGCCATGGTAGGGCTCCTGGGGACTTTGTGGAGAGCTGATGGTGTGGATGTGTGCCCTCATTTCCCTCGGGCAGATACCTAAGACTAGCATGGTTGGGTCATCTGCAGATTTGCTGGGGAGCTGCCAGGCTTTCCCAACATGGCCGTTCCATTTTACAACCCAGCCATGATGGCGATGTGTTGGGTTGGGTGCCTGTCGTCTTGTAGCATGACTACATGTGGCAGGGCAACCTGTAGGTGAGTGCCCTTATTTCCTGGAGAGCATGAGTTGCTAGCGCTTGTCTGCGGCAGGCTGAGAGCAGAGCCCCGTGTCCAGGTCTGTGCGTGCCCGGCTGCCTCGCTTCCAGCTCCACCCAGGGTTATGCCCAAGCAGCTGTTAGGGCCTGGCCCTGCCGCTGGACCCTGGTAGTGGAAGGAGATTGCTCTTACAGTTGTCCCTCACATACCTGTTCTCGGTAGGGTCTTTTCTCAAGAATGTGACCCAAATTCCGTTTCTAGAATGTTCTGGAAATGTGAGGCATCCTCCCAGAGCCGGGGCCCATCCTCCTGTAGGTAATGGCGTTTGTTCCAGAACTCACAGTGTGTGCTGTGTCTGATGCTGCCAGGGCCTGGGGTGGAGATGATTGGAGGGTACCAGGATTGGGGGTCTGGGGCTAGGGCCAGGGTCTGAGGGCCAGGACCAGGGCTCTGGGGCTGGGGCTGCCGCCCAGATTTGGGGGCCGATTTTGGAGTCTGGAGGTCAGGGCTGGGGTGTGGGTCTGGGGCCAGGGCCCGGGGTTTGGGGTCTGGGTCTGGAGTTAGGACCTGGGACTGGGACGGGGGCTGGGTTTGGGGTTTGGGGTCCGGGTCCGGCCGGGGCGCCGACCGTCCTGCCTCTCCGCAGCCCAAGCGGGAAGAAGTTCCGCAGCAAGCCGCAGCTGGCGCGCTACCTGGGCGGCTCCATGGACCTGAGCACCTTCGACTTCCGCACCGGGAAGATGCTGATGAGCAAGATGAATAAGAGCCGCCAGCGCGTGCGCTACGACTCCTCCAACCAGGTCAAGGTGAGCGGTGGCGTCACGCGGGTGACGTCAGCGGAGGGCGTTTTAGGCGGGGACGCGGCCGTGACGTGAGCCGCAGGCGACGCAGCCCGGCTCCTAGAGCGCGAGAGGTCACAGCGGGCAGAGGACACGGTGCAGGGCGCGGCGCGGTGCAGGGTGCAGAGCGGAGGCGCCGGGCACAGATCGCTGCGCGCATGGCGAGGACGCGACCCGTGACGGGGGCTCTGGAGGAGCTGGCCGGGCCCAGCCTGCGAGAGCGGCCTCCCCGGAGCCTGGGGGTCCTGGAGGGCGTGGGGGGCACGAGGGGCGCCCACAAGGCGGGGGGTCGTCCGGGCCCCGCGTCCCTGGAGGCTCTGAGCCGTCGGGGAGACCCCAGGCCGTGCTGTAGCGCCTTCCTCCCGCAGGGCAAGCCCGACCTGAACACGGCGCTGCCCGTGCGCCAGACAGCGTCCATCTTCAAGCAGCCGGTGACCAAGATTACCAACCACCCAAGCAACAAGGTCAAGAGCGACCCGCAGAAGGCGGTGGACCAGCCGCGCCAGGTGAGCCAGCGCACGGCGACCCCAGCCTTCCCGGCCAGCTTGTTCGCCTTGGTGGGTGGACGTTTGGAATAAGATCGGACGTGGAGCGGACGAATGGAGCGCAGGAGTTCCAAGCCAGCCTGGGCAACATGGGAGGCAAAAACATGGAAAAATTCGCTGGGCGTGGTGGCACTCGCCTGTGGTCTGTGGTCCCTGCTCCTTAGAAGGCTGAGAGGGGAGGATTGCTTGAGCCTAGGAGCCTAAGGTTGCGGTGAGCTGTGATCACACCACCGCTCTCCGGCCCAGGCGACAGCAAGAACCGGTCCTGTGGGCCCCCTTGGGATGCGCAGGGAATTAGTTCAGGACATACCCCACCCTCTTTGGTATCCCCAGGTACCCAACTCTGGGGATGATCAGGTCTCTCATAGAAAATGGTTTAGTAGGCTGGGCACGGTGGCTCACGCCTGTAATTCCAGCACTCTGGAAGGTCAAGGCAGGCGGATCACCTGAGGTCAGGAGTTCGAGACCAGCCTGGCCAACATGGCAACACCCCGTCTCTACTAAAAGTACGAAAATTAGCTAAACGTGGTGGCAGGCACCTCTACTCCCAGCTACTCGGGAAGTTGAGACAAGAATCACTTAAACCCAGGAGACAGGAGTTGCAGTGAGCTGAAACTTCCCGCCACTACACTCCAGCCTGGGCAACAAGAAGAAACTCCATCTCAAAAAAAAAAAAAAGCAAACAGTCTAGTAAGGCTTCTTCGTCGTGGTTCATTCCTGTAGTCCCAGCACTTTGGGAGGCCGAGGCAGGTGGGTCCGGAGTTCTAGACCAGCCTGACCGACATGGTGAAACCCTGTTTCTACTAAAAATACGAAAATTAGCCAGGCGGGCGTGGTGGTGCGTGCCTGTAATTCCAGTTACTCAGGAAGCTGAGAGAGGAGGATCACTTGAACCTGGGTGGAGGAGGTTGCAGTGAGCCCACATCCTGCCACTGCACTCCAGCCTGGGCGACAGAGCAAGACTGTCTCAGAAATAAAATTTAAAAAAATTTTTTTAATGAAAATGGTCTGGTATTGGCATGTAACCTACAGATATCGTCTAGATTCCTTATACTGCTTCATAAGATGTAGATGGTTGTGACACTCTTTGTCTTGTGTGTTTGTGTTACTGGTTTTTTTAGTTTTTTGCTTTTGAGACAAGGTCTCTCTGTGTTGCCCAGGCTGGTCTCAAGCCCCTGGTGTCAGTCAAGTGATCCTCTCACCTCTGCCTCCTGAGTTGTGGGGATTACAGGCATGAGCCAATTCACTTGGCCAGCTGTTGAATTATTTTTATTTGTTTTTCCCCCAAATATTTTCAGTCTGCAGCTGGTTGGGTGGATGGTTGTGGAACCCACAGATACCGGGGGCTAACTGCCCGTATGTGGCCGTGTGTGTGTGTGTGTGTGTGTGTGTGTGTGTGTGTGTTTCCTACTTCTTAAAAACTGAGAACCATGTACGGTGTGTGTGTGTGTTTTGAGACAGTCTTGCTTTGTCACCCAGGCTAGAGTGCAGTGGCCAGGATCTTAACTCACTGCAGCCTCCGCCTCCTGGGTTCAACCAGGTTGAAGTGATCTTCCCACCTCAGCCTCCCGAGTAGCTGGGATTATAGGCCTCCATCACTATGCCAGCTAATTTTGTGTTGTTTTTTTTTTTGAGTTGGAGTCTCACTCTGTTGCTCAGGCTGACGTGCAGTGGCGTGATCTTGGCTCACTGTAACCTCCGCCTCCTGGTTCAAGCAATTCTGCCTCAGCCTCCCAAGTAGCTGGGATTGCAGGTTTGCACCACCACGCCAGTCCTTTTTTTTGCATTTTTTGTAAAGATGGGGTCTCATCATGTTGGCCTGGCTGGTCTCTAACTCCCAACTTCAGGCGATCCATCCGCCTTGGCCTCCCAGAGCACTGGGATTACAGGCGTCAGCCACCCCGTGTGTAGTTTTTATTCTTATTTGCAAACATCCACTGGATACCAGACTGTGGAAAGCCTGAGCAGGAGCAAGAGGCCCAAGGCCCTAGGAGGCAAGAGGCCCATGGGGACCCACATGGGGAAGGAGGCCAAGTGGGCTTCCCTGGAGCCCTTCGAGGCCCTGGAAGGGGGAGGTGCAGGGCCGCTCTTGGGGTTCACATGTGTGTCTGGGGCAGCTCTTCTGGGAGAAGAAGCTCAGCGGCCTGAATGCCTTCGACATTGCCGAGGAGCTGGTCAAGACCATGGACCTCCCCAAGGGCCTGCAGGGTGAGCGGGCGCCCCTTGGGGCAGCCGGAAGGGGACAAGCTGGGTGGGGTGGAGTGCTGGGGGCGCCCTCATCTCCTAGCAGGGTGGAGGGCTGTTCATGATGCGGGCACTGAGGGCTAATCTGCCTGCGGTGGGGCAGGAGGAGGGGCCCCAGGGTGCCTGGCTGGGCCCTCCATACTTGGAGACCCTGTGGGTGGGGCAGGAGGAGGGGCCCCGGGGCGCCTGGGCTGGGCTCTTCATTCTTGGAGACCCTGTGGGTGGGGCAGGAAGAGGGGCCCCGGGGCACCTGGCTGGGCTCTTCATACTTGGAGACCCTGTGGGTGGGGCGGGAGGAGGGGCCCCAGGGCGCCTGGCTGGGCTCTTGTACTTGGGAGACTGCAGTGGGGCTTTGCGGCCTCCAGGTGCAGTGCATGTTTTAACCTGGATCCTAAGAAAACAAGGAGGCCTGGTTTTGCTCTAGCACAGAACAAGGAATGCAGAGTTGGTGTGGTTTCGGCGGTTTTTTAGAGACCGAGTCGGCTGGGTGCAGCGGCTGACGCCTGTAATCCAGCACTTTAGGAGGCTGAGGCAAGAGTATCACGAGCTCGGAAGTTCAAGACCAGCTTGGGCAGCATAGTGAGACCCTTATCTCTACATCCCTGCAGAAAATACAGAGCAAGACCCTGTCTCAAAAAACAAAAGGTGGGCTCTCTGTTGCCCGGGTGGAGCACAGTGCTGCCGCACTGCTCACAGAAGCCTCTGCCTCCCGGGATCGGGGGTTCTCTGCTCAGCCTCCTGAGCAGCGGGGACTGCGAGGCGCCACACCTGGCTGACGTTTTAGTTCTTGTGTGGAGACGGATCTCACTACGTTGTCCAGGCTCGCCTCTAGCTCCTCAGCTCAACGGCCTCCCGACTTGCCCTCCCAGATGCTGGGGCTGCGGGCGTGAGCTGCCGTGCCCACCTAGCTTGGTTTGTTTCTGTTAAGAAAGTCATGACACCCACTCCAGGGGAAACGGAGACGTGAAATCCGGTCAGGGAGAAGGTAGCAGCTCCGTTCTTGGGGCATTCTGTGGCCTGTCTGGGTCATGGCTGTGACCTCTCCCCTCGGGGCTGCCTCTCCACTGCCTGGCAGGGGTGGGACCCGGCTGCACGGACGAGACGCTGCTGTCGGCCATCGCCAGCGCCCTGCACACCAGCACGATGCCCATCACCGGGCAGCTGTCGGCCGCCGTGGAGAAGAACCCTGGCGTGTGGCTCAACACCACGCAGCCCCTCTGCAAAGCCTTCATGGTCACCGACGAGGACATCAGGTAGCCCCCAGTCCCCTGCGTGTCCGCCCTGTCTCTCGGGGCCGTGGGGTCCCTGAGCGTCCCCACATGCTTCATGTCTCCCCACGACTCTCCCGTCTCTGTGATCGCTGCCTGGGTTTTTTGAAACACAAATAGTGGGGCAAGGGGACCCATCGTTGGAGCCAGTGTGAACGGCTCCACTTGTGTCCTCGGGTCAGGGCCAGCCAGGCACCTCTTGAAGGCACGTTCTTGAAAGGGGTGTGAAGCCAGGGGCTGTGTCACACCTGTCATCCCAGCACTTTGAGAGGCTGAGGCAGGTGGGTCACTTGGTCAGTGGTTCGAGACCAGCCTGACCAACATGGCGAAACCCCCTGTCTGCTTAAAATACAAAAAGGAGCCCGGCGTGATAGTGCACGCCTGTAATCGCAGCTACTTGGGAGGCTGAGGCAGCAGAATCGCTTGAACCCGGGAGATGGAGGTTGCATTGAGCTGAGATCCTGCCACTGCACTCCAGCCTGAGCGACAGAGTGGTCCCCAGCTCAGAAAAAAAATGAATAAAGAAAAGATTGTGGTCTTGGGAGCCTGTGGGGACTGGCTGTGCTGGGTGCTGGCCTCCATGCTGGGCCCTGGGGACGGAGGGACAAGGCAGGCCGGGGTTCTGCCTTTGGGGAGGTGGCTCAGGGTGCCCGAGGAGGGGCAGTTCCGAGTAGCAGTGGCCCATGGGCGGAGCCTGGAACAGCAGGGAGTGGGGCCGCTGCAGGCAGGATGGTGGGGGGGTGAGCTGAGCTGTGAGATGTGGGCGCCCGGGGTGAGCCCTTCCTGCGGGGCTTCACGGCCAAACTCGAGTCTGGAATGCAGGGTGGCCGGAAGGCACCTGCAGGAAGCCCTGGAGTGCTAAAGAGAAGACGGGCTTTTCTCGGTCAACCTAGCACACGGCTGAGGTCAGAGAAGGGTTCCAGAAATGGGGAACTAAGCCCCGGAGCGGCCAGGGAGGCGCTTGGGCATGGGGTCTTCCTGTGGCAGCAGCCAGGGGTTAAAGGCCATATGGGCACAGGGAGAAGAGACCCTGTGCCCCCAGGCAGGATAAAGAGACAGACCTAAGACGCCACCCCGGCAAGCAGACAGTGTGGGTGCTGAGGGTTCCGTCTTGAGCAGCTGGCGGCAGCCTCCTCCAGCCATGGTACCTTTGGGCCCCCTCATTTGGGTTTGAGGTCAATTTACACTCTACACACTCAGGGAACTTCCCCAAAATGAAGATGGTGAAATAGGAAGAACTGACAAGAAAACAACAAGACTGTGAGGAACAGCAGGCAGATAATTAAAAGCCCCTGCAGAACGTGTAGAAATAAGGCCGAGCACAGTGGCTCACGCCTGTAATCCCGGCACTTTGGGAGGCCAAGGTGGGAGGATCACCTGAGATCGGGAGTTCGAGACCAGCCTGGCCAACATGGTGAACCGTCTCTGCTTAAAAAAAAAAAAAAACCCAGTAATTATTCCAGTCTGTTGGTGTATACCTGCAATCCCAACTCTTGGGAGGCTGAGGCAGGAGAATATCTGCAACTCAGGAGGCAGAGGTTGCAGTGAGTTGAGATCACACCACTGCATTCCAGCCTGGGTGACAGAGGCCCTGTCTTCAAAAGGAAAAGGAAAAGAAGAAAGCTTGGCGCGGTGGCTCATGCCTGTAATTCCAGCACTTTGGGAGGCTGAGGTGGGTGGATTATGAGGTCAGATCATCGAGACTATCCTGGCCAAAACGGTGAAACCCTGTCTCTACTAAAACTACAGAAAATTAGCCCGGCATGGTGGTGTGTGTCTGTAGTCTCAGCTACTCAGGAGGCTGAGATAGGAGAATTGCTTGAACCTGGGATACAGAGGTTGCAATGAGCTGAAATCGTGCCACTGCACTCCAGCCTGGGTGACAGAGTGAGAGTCTGTCTCAAAAAAAAAAAAAAAAAAAAAAAAAACAGCTTGTAGAAATTGAAAAGGGCACTGAAATTTCAGAACTTGGTGGTGGGTTGAGCAGAAGGTGGAGTCCTGTCTGGAAGGACAGCAAGCAGGTGCTGGCTGCAGTGGGGTCAGTGAGCCAGAGTGATATGGGTGGCGGGGGCAGCCCAGGTACCGAGGAGCCGCCGGAGGGAGACCCCGGCCAGGAGGGCGTGGCTGAGCCTTGGCCACAACTGGGGACGTACACAGAATCAGCCTGCCCCACTCAGTGCTTGTTAGAAATCAGGAGCAAGCCGGGCGCGGTGGCTCAAGCCTATAATCCCAGCAGTTTGGGAGGCCGAGGCGGGTGGATCACGAGGTCAAGAGATCCAGACCATCCTGGTCAACATGGTGAAACCCCGTCTCTACTAAAAAAAAAAATACAAAAAATGAGCTGGGCGTGGTGGCGCGTGCCTGTAATCCCAGCTACTCAGGAGGCTGAGGCAGGAGAATTGCCTGAACCCAGGAGGCGGAGGTTGCGGTGAGCCGAGATCGCGCCATTGCACTCCAGCCTGGGTAACAAGAGCGAAACTCTGTCTCAAAAAAAAAAAAAGAAATCAGGAGCAAGTGTTTACGCAGCTGAGCCCGGGAGAGGCTCAGGGCCTGGTCTGGAGACTGAGGGGTGGCCCCGAGAGAGGTAGCAGGCGGGCCGTACAGGAGGATGGCAGGGGCTAGCACTGGCCAGTGGCAGCCAGTTATTCTGTTGATTGTGAAGGGAGGGGCACCTGTGGATTCCTCGGCTTCTCTTCCCAGCCGAGGGCCCCTTTCCGCGCCCATCCCCTGTCTGCAACCTCCTGGCTGCTGGCCTGGGTGTGACGTGATGTCCCTGTGTCCCCAGGAAGCAGGAGGAGCTGGTGCAGCAGGTGCGGAAGCGGCTGGAGGAGGCACTGATGGCCGACATGCTGGCGCACGTGGAGGAGCTGGCGCGTGACGGCGAGGCACCGCTGGACAAGGCCTGCACCGAGGATGACGACGACGAGGACGAGGAGGAGGAGGAGGAGGAGCCCGACCCGGACCCGGAGATGGAGCACGTCTAGGGCAGGTGCTGCAGACCGCGGGGGCTGCCTGCCACGCACGGAGTGCCCGTCTCCCCGGAGGAGCCCAGGCGTCCCTGTCCCGTGGTCGCTAAAGCCAGCCTTCCCTGTCCTGTCAGCAGCCCTGCCGAGAGCCCGTGCTGTGAGTGCCGCCCACTGGAGCCGCCTGCAGCTGTGGCCCTCGGCCCCACGTGGACCAGGCTTGGGGCACAGCTGGGGCTGCCTCACCAGAAAGACCCTCCCTGCTCATCCTCTAAAGGGCCCGGGTCCTGCCTGGCTCCCCATGACCTCAGGGCTTGAGGCCAGCTCCTCCCACGGCTGCTGTCCCCAGCTCCTTGAGACTGGAGAGCGGCCAGCAGGTGCCCGGCAGCTTGGCACCAAGGAGCGCGGCACCTGGGAGGGTCTCTCAGTCTGAAGGCGTGTTTTTGAAACGCACATCGCCCACTGTGCGGCAGGAGGACGGGACTCTGGTCCTCCGTAAGGGACATCCAGGATGGCGCCACCCTCTGCCCTGCCACGAGGCTGGCAGCACCACAGACCCTCACAGCCCAAATGGCACGCCGGGGATGCCACGCTCCTTCAGTAAATCTGTGACCGTCAAGGCTGGACGTGCACATCACCAGGCAGCCTCTGCTGCTGCAGGGATGCCAGCCTTTGCTTCCAAAAACCGTACTGCAGCCGCTGCCAGAATGATGTCAGCCAACCCCCCGCCTCAGTTTCCCTTCTGTGTAGTGGGGACATAGGCACCGAGCTTTGGGGTGGTGCTGACGCTCCCAGAGGTGTCAGGAGCCACTTGGACAGGACAAGTCTCCCAGATGCTTCTTGAGGTGCTCGGGTCTCTGGGGAGCTTCTGGTCTGAGGCCGTCTGAAGGATCCCATGTGCTCCTGAACCCCCAGTGCCTCAGTGAGGGCAGGTTCTAGGCCGCAGGGGCCTGCCGCAAGTGAACCCTGGGCTCCTGCGGGTGGCTTCCTCACCTGCATTGACCTTAGGCCCATCGAGAGGGCCTGTCCTGGCTCTGCCCCATCCGGGATCTGGGATCTGGTCGCTGCCTCGGGCAGACTGATGGGCAGAGTCACCCCTGTGGCTGGGCCGTGACCCCTGATGGTGCCAGACTGGGGGCCGAGGAAGTGCCACTCGGGAGCCAGGCTCGCCACTCTGCCAGGTGCCCTGCAAGGACAGCCACAGGGCAGTGGGCTGGCGGCTTCTTGCTGCTCCCTGTCACAGTCAAAGCACAAATTTTCAGGGTTGGCTCAAGGGCTGGGCCCCAAGGGACCCTCTGGGTGGGAGCCACATCTTCCTGGGGTCGGTGCCCTCTGGCCAGGACCCTTTGCCGGCCCGAGGTCCCCAGGCGCTGTGGTGGGGTGGCCTCCCCTCTGTGCCTGGTGGAGGGAGCTGTGGGCATGGGCACGTGACTGAATAAAGCCACCGTGGGATGTGCTTGGAGCCTAGAGTGGTTCATCCTCAACCTTGGTGCCCACATTGGAGCGTCTGTTGCTGGCTGAGTGATGGGAGGTGACGGCCCGGCCGTTCCGCAGCCTCACTGATGTTCCTGACCCCAGATGCTTATGCAGAGCAGGCTTGAGGTGTTCAGAGAAGCCTGGCTGGCCTGGGCATCTGTAGGTGAGGGCTGTTCCTCCCGAGCTGCCACTGGCTTGGCCTGGGCACTGTGGGTGTTGGCCTTGCTGCCTGGGTCAGGACAGTGGGTAGGGCTCAGACCCAGCATGGCTCCTTCCAGTGAAGCAGGAGGGGCTGCCCGGACAGAGGCTCCTCAGTTCCGCAGCTGTGTAGGGGGCTTGGCCCCAGGGCGCCCGGGGTTCCACTTGGCAGCCAAGGCCAGTGGAAGCTGCTTTCTGGACCTGAAGGCTGGGAGGCCGCCCTCCCCTCACTGCCTGGCCACCTGAGGGTCTGCCTGCCCCGGGACACCAGGACCCTCCGGCTCTCCTCCCTTTTTCCCTGTCTGCTCCCCTCCGTCTCTTGCTCTCCGTCTCCATCTCTGTCTCTCCTGCTCTCTCGCTCTCTCTCCCTCCGTCTCAGCCCAGCCTCCTGTCACTGGCAGGCCCTGATTGGTCCCTCTGGGCCTGGGGTTCTGGCGACTGCTGGCCTCGGTCGGAGATGTGAGAGCCCCCACCCCTGCTGCAGGGCTCTCCCCACCAGAAGCCTGTCCAGGCCCTGATGCTGTTGCTGAAGCGTGAGGGACCTTTCCCCTCCCTGAAACGTTGGGGTCCCCCATAGGCCTAGGCGATGCTAGCCAGTGCTGGAGGCCATGCCCACCAAGAAATGAGTTGGTGTGGGTCCCCAGTGCTCGGGCCCCCTTCAAATTCCTGCCTTGGAGAAGCACAGAGTCTCCGGCTGGACCTGCCTGCTGCACTGAGGCCCTGCACTCCAGCCCCGAAGCCCAGACCTGGTCCTGGGTGGGGTAACCTGAGCCCTCAGCGCTGGGGTCGTTCGTGGGGATCTCGTGACCAGCCCCATACGGTGTAGGTCCCATCCAGAGGTCACCTCGCCGCCCACGTCTGCCCCAAGACTTTCTGGGACTTTTTTGTTTTTTGAGACAGTTTCTCTCTGTTGCCTGGGCTGGAGTGCAATGGCATGATCCTGGTTCGCTGCAACCTCCACCTCCTGGGTTCAACGAGTCTCCTGCCTCAGCCTTCCAAGTAGCCACCACGCCCAGCTAATTTTTGTATTTTTAGTAGAGATGGGGATTCACCAGGCTGGTCAGGCTGGTCTCAAACTCCTGACCTCAGGTGATCTTGCCAACCTCGGCTTCCCCGTACTGGGATCACAGGCGTGAGCCACCGCGTCCGGGCCTCGTGGCACTTTCCAGCAGCAGCAAGAGCCTCACATGTACAGCGCCTCCCCTCAGACCAAGTTTCCCCAGTGAGGCCCCACAGAGGGCACAGGAGGAGAGGCCTCAGGCCCCTGGGAAGACGCTGCACCTCCCAGCCCTGGGCTCAGCCACATGGACCCACCGGGCTCCGGAGTCTCCTTCAGCAACTTCAACTCGGGGGCATCATGCCCCTCTGCCAGGCCCAGGGCCTTCACCTTGCTGTCCCTGCAGCCCCCAACCCCCAGACCCAGGCAGGCAGGGACAGCCTTTTCCACCTCCCCACCCCTCCCTCACCTCCAAAGGCCCTTCCCACCCTTCCACACCCCTGACGGCCCTTCCTATGCTGCTGTAGGCCCTTCCCACCCGCCACCCCTCCCCCACCCCTGAAAGCTCTTCCCACACCCCTGACGGCCCTTCCCGCACCCCTGTAGGCCCTTCCCACCCCCCCATACCACCCCCACCCCTGACGCCCGTTCCCGCACCCCTGACGGCCCTTCCCACCCCCCACACCTCCCCTATGCCCCTTCCCACCCCCCCACACCGCCCCCACCCCGACAGCCCTTCCCGCATCCCTGTAGGCCCTTCCCACTCCCCCACCCCTCCCCCATGGCCCTTCCCACCGCCTGACGCCCCTTACGGCCCTTCCCACCACCCCACACCTCCCCTACGGCCCTTCTCACCTCCCCACATCCCCTGACGGCCCTTCGGACCCCACACCTCACCACCACACAGACCCCCAGGGATACCGGTCGCCTGTGTGCGCCCCCTGTGGCTGCCACAGCAGCTGTCCAGGCGCCTGGAGGTGCCCATGGAAAATGTCCCCAGCTTCAGGACGATCTTTTGGACAGGCCATTCCAGAGCGGGATGCAGCCTGTGAGCTCAGTCACACTTGTTCCAGATTCAAGGGGCCCAAAACGTGGAAGCAAGTCCAGTGCCTGTCCACGGATGAAGGAAGCGCCCGGCCCCGGCCATGCCAGGGAGGAGGACTCCGCCAGGAACAGGAACCAGGCTCTGATTCCCGCCATGGTGCGGATGCCCCGGGAGGATGCCAGCGCAGCGTGTGATCCCAGTGCTGTGAATGTTTAGGACAGGCGGACGCACAGGGACAGGAAGGGGTTCGTGGGTGCCAGGGAGGGGTGTTATAGGGCGTGGGGGGAATGGATAAAAGGTACCCACAAAAGTTAACAATAACGTTCCACACTGGTCTCTGTGGCCCAGGCTGCAGTGCAGTGGCTCCATCTTGGCTCACTGCAACCTCCTCCTCCCAGGTTCCAGCGATTTGCCCACCACTGCCTCCCAAGTAGCTGGAATTACAGGTGCCCGCCACCACCCGAGTTAATTTTTTTGTATTTTTAGTAGAGACAGGGTTTCTCACCTTGTTAGCCAGGCTGGTCTTGAACTCCTGACCTCAGGTGATCCACCCACTTCAACCTCCCAAAGTGGTGGGATTAGAGGTGTCAGCCACCACACCTGGCCACAGTTTTTTCTTTTCGTTTTGTTTTTTGGGTTTTTTGTTTGTTTGTTTGTTTGTTTGCACATGGTCTCTGTCACCCAGGCTGGAGTGCAGTGGCATGATCTCGGCTCCCTGCTGCCTCCATCTCCAGGGTTCAAGTAATTCTCCTGCCTCAACCTCCTGAGTAGCTGGGATTACGCTCACCAACCACCATGCCCACAGCCTCACATGTCCACCGCCTCCCCTCAGACCAAGCTCACCAGCGAGGCCCCACAGAGGGCACAGGAGAAGAGGCCTCAGGCCCCTGTGATTTCTGTACGTTTAGTAGAGACGAGGTGTCACCATGTTGGCCAGGCTGGTCTCGAACTCCTGACCCCAAGTGATCCACCTGCCTCAGCCTCGCAAAGTGGTGGGATTGCAGGTGGGAACCACCTTACCAGCCACAGCTTTTTGTTTTGTTTTGTTTTGTTTTGTTTTTAGGTAGGGTTTCACTCGATCACCCAGGCTGGAGCGCAATGTTGAAATCATAGCTCACTGCAGCCTCAAACTCCCAGGCTCAGGTGATCCTCTTGACTCAGCCTTCCAAGTAGCTGGGACCACAGGTGCACACCAGCATGCCTGGCTAATTTCGTTATTATTATGATTTCGTATTTTTTGTAGTGATGGAGTCTCTCTATGTTGCCTAGACTGGTTTGAAATTCCTGGGTGTCAATGGTGCAATCTCGGCTCACCGCAGCCTCCGCCTCCCAGGTTCAAGCGGTTCTCCAACCTCAGCCTCCCGAGTAGCTAAGATTATAGGTGGCTGCCATCATGCCCAGCTAATTTTTCTGTTTTCATCTGAGCCAGTGCGGAACTTTTTTTTTTTTTTTTTTTTGTATTTTCAGTAAAGACGGGGTTTTGCCTTGTTGGCCAGGCTGGTCTCGAACTCCTGACTTCAGGTGATCCACCTGCCTCAGCCTCCCAAAGTGCTGGGATTACAGACATGACCCCACTGTGCCCCACCAAAATTGAGGACTTCTAAAGGGTAAGCTTTGATGTATGTCAACTATGTATATACATATACATATATTTTTTCAAATAGAGTCTCACTTTATCATCCAGGCTAGAACGTAATGGCTTCCTCATTGCTCACTGCAACCTCAAACTACTGGGCTCAAGTGATCCTCCCACCTCAGCCTCTGAAGTAGCTGGGTCTATAGGCTTTGCCACCACCCTGGATGATTCGTATTTGAATTTTTTTTTTTTTTTTTTTTTGAGACGGAGTTTCGCTCTTGTTACCCAGGCTGGAGTGCAATGGCGCGATCTCGGCTCCACCGCAACCTCCGCCTCCTGGGTTCAGGCAATTCTCCTGCCTCAGCCTCCTGAGTAGCTGGGATTACAGGCACGCGCCACCATGCCCAGCTGATTTTTTGTATTTTTAGTAGAGACGGGGTTTCACCATGTTGACCAGGTTGGTCTCGATCTCTGGACCTTGTGATCCACCCGCCTCGGCCTCCCAAAGTGCTGGGATTACAGGCTTGAGCCACCGCGCCCGGCCTGTATTTGAATTTTTTAAAAAACAGATTTGGTTAGCCGGGCGCGGTGGGGGACCAAGGCAGATGGATCAGCGGATCACCTGAGGTCAGGACTTTGAGATCAGCCTGGCCAACATGGCGAAACTCCGTCTCTATTTTTTTTTTTTTTTTTGAGACGGAGTTTCGCTCTTGTTGCCCAGGCTGGAGTGCAATGGCACGATCTTGGCTCACCGCAACCTCCGCCTCCTGGGTTCAGGCAATTCTCCTGCCTCAGCCTCCTAAGTAGCTGGGATTACAGGCACGCGCCACCACGCCCAGCTAGTTTTTTTTTTTTGTATTTTTAGTAGAGACGGGGTTTCACTATGTTGACCAGGATGGTCTCGATCTCTCGACCTCGTGATCCACCCGCCTCGGCCTCCCAAAGTGCTGGGATTACAGGCTTGAGCCACCGCGCCCGGCCGAAACTCCGTCTCTATTAAAAATAAAAAAATTAGGCCAGGCGAGGTGGCTCACACCTGTAATCCCAGCCCTTTGGGAGGCTAAGGCAGGTAGATCATGAGGTCAGGAGATTGAGACCATCCTGGCTAACTCTACTAAAAATACAAAAATTAGGCCAGGTGAGCTGGCTCATGCCTGTAATCCCAGCACT